CCCTGTGTCAAAGGCAGACGTTCAACCACTGAGCCACCCAGGTGTCCCTATTTTCTATTCTTAAAAATATTTTATTTATTTACTTATTTGAGAGAGAGAGGTAGACATAGTAAGATAAAGCACACGTGGGGAGGAGAGGGAAAAGCAGGCTCTCCACTGAGCTGGTAGCGTAATACAGGGCTTAATCCCAGGACCCCAGGATCATGTATGACCTGAGTCGAAGGCAGACGCTGGATTGACTAAGCCACCCAGGTGCCCTGCTTTTCTTCTTTTAATATAAGCATTCAATGCTATACATTTCCTTCCCGTACTTAGCTGTGTCTCACAAAATTTGATAAGTTCTATTTTCATTTTCTTTCAGTTCAATTTTTTAAAAAAATTTCCCTTGAGATGCCCTCTTTGACCCATAGATTATTTAGAACTGTGATGTTTAGTTTCCAAGTCTTTGGAGCTTTTCCTGTTACTGACTTCTAGTTTGATTCCATTGTGATTAGAAAATATACTCTACATGATTTCAATTATTTCAACAATTTTAAGTCTTGTTTTTTAGCCCTAAACTTAGTTTATCTTGGTACATTTTCCATGGGTTCTTGAAAAGAACGTGTATTATGCTGTTTTGGGGTCATTTGGATCCTGTTGGTTGATGCTGTTGTTAAGTTCTTCTCTGTCCTTGCTGATTTTCTGTCTAGTTGCTCTATCATTTGTTGAGGGAGGAGTGCTGAAGTTTTCAACTATAACTGTGGATTTTTCTACTTCTCCTTTCATTTCTGTTGGGGTTTGCTTCATATATTTTGCAGCTCTGTTGTTTGATACACATATCAAAATGTCTTCTTGGTGGCTATGTCTCCTTGGTGGCTTGACCCCTTCCTTAAAATATAATATACCTTCCTAGCTTTGGTCATTTCCTTTGTTCTGAAGTCTACTTTACCTATTTACTTATATTGAGATCTAATTGACATATAACATAAATGTACAACATGATTCAAAATTTTATATATTGTCAAGTGATTACCACAATAAGTCTAGTTAACATCCATCACCACACAATTATAATTTTTTTTCTTGTGATGAGAACTTTTAAGATCTATTCTCTTAGAAACTTTCAAATATAACAATATTATTAACCATAGTCACCATGCTGTATATTACATCCCCAAGACTTATTTTAAAACTAGAAGCCTGTACCTTTGGCCACCTTCACCCTTTTTGCCCACCTCCCCAACTCCTGTCTCTGGCAAACACCAATCTGTTCTTTGTATATATGAGTTCATTGTGTTTGTTTTTTAGATTCCACATACAAGTAAGGTCAGACAATGTTTGTTTTTCGGTTTGGTTTATTTCACTTAGCATAATGCCCTTAAGGTTCATCCATGTTGTCACAAATGGCAAGATGTCCTTCTTCCTTGTGGCTGAATAATAGTTCATTGTATGTGCACACCACATTTTCCTTACCCATTCAGCTACAGATGCACACTTAGGTTGCTTCTATGTCTCGGCTATTGTAAATAATCTGCAGTGAATTTGGAAGTGCCATATCTTTTTGCATTAGTGTCTTGATTTTCTTTGGAAAATACCCAGAAGTGAAATTCTTGGACCATTTGGTAGTTCTATTTTTAATATTTTGAGGAACTCCCATGGTTCTTGCATTAATGTTTTCATTTCTATCAGCTAAATACCCAGGAGAATTGCTCAAACACATATTTTTAATTTTTTGGAAGAACTTTACTTTCTTTCGATTAATGTTAGTATAGTATATCCATTTACATTATTTTCAACTTGATTATATTTGAAGTTATTTTTCTTATGGACAGCATACAGTTGGGTCATGTTTTTTATTCACTCTGTCAATCTCTTTTTTCATTTGTGTATTTACACCACTTACATTTAATGTAATACTTACATGGTAAGGCTTAATTAAGCCTGTCAGTTTGCTTTTGTTTTCTCTCTGTTCTCTCCATTTTTTTTCCTACCTGTGGGTCTCTTAAACAATTTTAAAATTCCATTTTCATTTATCTAGTGTTTTTGAGTAAATAACTTTGCATAGCTTTTTAGTGATTGATCTAAGTATTACATTATATAGAACTTACCAAAGTCTACTGGTTTCAACATTTTACAAGTTCAAGTATAGAAACCTCACCAACCTTCACATCTCTTTACCCTCTCCCATTTATAATTGTCATAAATATTTCTTCTACCTAGCATTACACAGTGTTATAGTTTTTACTTTGATTGCCAAACATAATTTAGAAAACTCAAGAAGAGAAGGAAAGTCTGTTGTATTTACCCATAGGTTTGCTCTTCCCATGTTCTTTCTTCCTTTTTGATGTTCCAAGATTTCTTTCTTTTTTAAAAAATCATTTTCTTTCTGTTTAGAGAATTCCCTTTAGCTGTTCTTTTCAGGTTTCTGTTGGTTAAAAATTGTTAGTTTTCCTTTATCTGAAGATGTCTTGATTTCCTTTTCATTCCTGAGGGATATTTTCAGTAAATATAGGTTTCCAAGTTGATAGTTCTTTTCCTTTAGTATCTGAGAAATGCTATTTCAGTTCCTTATGGCCTCCATGGTTTTTGATAGGAAGGCTACTGTCATTTAAATGGGTTTCTCCCTATAGGTAATGTGTCATTTCTCTGTGATTGCTTTCAAGATTTTTGCTTTGTCTTTAATTTTTAGAAGTTTGACTATTATGTGTTTTGTCATGGATTTCTTTGGATTTATCTTTTTTGGGATTCACTCAGCTTCTTGAATCTGTAGATACATGGTTTTTGTTTTGTCAAATTAAGGACATTTTTTCAATCATTATTTCTTCAAATATTTTCTCAGCCTCACCCTGCCTCTCCTCTCCTTCAGAGACTCCAATGACATAAATGTTAGATCTTTTGTTATACTAGCCAGACATGCCCCTGGGGCTCTGTTAATTTTTATTTGTTTGTTTATTTTCTTTCTGCTGTTCAAACTGGGTAATTTATATTGTTCTATGTTCCATTTCAGTGATTGTTATTTCTATAATCCCCATTCTGCTGTTGAGCCCATTCATTAAGCTTTTTATTTCAGTCATTGTATTTTTTTAGTTCTAAAATTTTCTTCTTTCTTTGCTGACACTATTTTTTCATTTGTTTCAAGCATGTTTGTAATTGCTCACTGAAACATTTTTATAATGGCTGCTTTAAAATCTTTGTCCGATAATTCAAACATCTGTGTCATCTTGGTGTTTGTGTCTGATTACCTTTTCACATTCAGTTTGAGAACTTCCTGGTTCTTAGTATGCCAAGTGATTTACAATTGAAACTTGGACAGTTTGGGTATTATTTATGGGATTGGATCTTATTTAAATCTGTGTTTTAGCAAGTCTCCCCTGCCACTGCTTCAGTGAAATAATGGGGGCACTGCCTCATTACTGCTAAATGGGAGTAGAAGTTCAGGTTCTCCACTCAACCTCTCTTGACACCTGGGGTGTGTGTGTGTGTGTGTGTGTGAGTGAAGTTTTCTTATTACTGCTGGGCAGGAGTAGATCAGGTTCCCCAGTATGCATCTACTAATATCACCCTAGCTGGGAGTGGGAGGGGTACTTCATTACTACTCTCCACATGGTTTCCATATAGATTCCACAGTAGGAGGTGGGCTTATGACCGCTGAGTGACAGTGAAAGTCCTGACTCTCCCCTAGATCTCCTCTTACATCATTCCATTGAGGAGAATGATCACCATGGATGGGGGGTGAATGTTCAGGCTCCCCATGTGGTCTCCAATGACACTGTGAGGAGGAATAGCCCAGTGGGGATGGAGGGCCCAGCTCCACACTCAGCCTGGCACCACTCAGATGTGGTATGGGGCAGTGGCCTGGGTTCTTCATTATGGTCTAGCAAAGGTGGAAGTCTAGGGCCCCACTCAGCTTTGCTGTCAGGGGTGGGAGTGAAGCAGCAGATTTTTCTAATAGTTAGCTGGAGTAGAACAGTTATTGCCTGAAAGATGTCTGTCTTTCTGGGTTGCCCCTTTCTCAGTTTTTGGCCAGAGGAGCAGAGTTTTGCTGAGCATTCTTTTATCTGTGTCCACTGGCATTTCCAGTTGCTTGCTTCTTCAGTATCCAATCTGGGATATATAAAGTAAAGAGAAAACCCAGGGAATTCACCATCATATCATTCCTCAGGTCCCAAGGTCCCTAACCAGTGTGTTCCTCTCTCAATCTTTCAGTGTCTTCTTGTGCTTGTTTTATAACTTCCAGGGTTTTTAGTTGTTCTCAGCAAAAGAAATAGGGAAGATTACATCTTTCCAGAACATTACTGTTTTTGAATGAGCTGTGCTTCCCCTTCTCCGTTTCCTTCTCAATGGCTGGCCATCAGTAGAGTTTGGTGATGCCAGATACAGATTACTCAGAGACTTCCTTGATCATCTGTAGGATTTGAATGGCTTTGTCTGATGCCACTAGAAGGCTGACCAAGTGGTAAGGTTCCAGTCTCATGACTTGCCCAATTCAATGACACTTCATGTAAGTTATCTTTTTTCTTCCTGATATCTATGTGTTCTTCCCTAGAACCATAGGAGCCGCTGAAGCATCAGTGTGAGTAGGAATCAGACTCCTGACCATTCTTGCCTCTGAAGGGAAAGTATAAGAATGAGAATAACTGGATGGTATCACTAAACTACAAATACTTTCAGATTGCCTTGGGCCTTTTCCAGCAGACTGGCAGTTCTAATCTGTTTGTCTTGAATTTTTAGCATTTCCTGAGAGCTGGATAGAGGGGAAGTTGTGGAGGAACCAGCTCTAACTATCTGATATAGAAACTCCATATACTGAAACTAAAAACTGACCGTGGATGCCCAAATGTGCCCTCCAATCTGCCTTCGAGCCCACATTGCCCTCATTCCCTCTTTTCCCAACTCCCCACTTTGCCATGCCTCTTGGTTGCCCTGAGAGTCACAGAGGGGGCAGGGGGTGTGGCCAAGGAGAGTGAAAATCCTTCACTGTGCTTCCCCTTTCACTCTCAGATGCTGCCAGGGTCCCCGAAGAAGGAAGACACGAGAAAACAGGTAAAAACTATTTTGCTCTCTTTTGCATTCAGCAAGCCAGTATGGAGCAGCTGCTGTGTGCCAGGCATGATTCTTGGGGCTGGGAGCACAGCGGGAAGCCCTCCTCTCTCTTGCCTGTGTTATAACTGATTCTGAGCCCTGTCTTTGAGTATGCCCCCTGACGGGCTTGATGAGTCTTCTGAGAGTAAGATGGGTCACCAGATGCCCAGGAGGGAAGAATGGACCCAGGGAGGCTGGCTCTGAGATCTTGCAAGGCCCTCAACAGGCCTCTGATGAGCAGGCCACAGGCCTGGATAGCATGGTCTTGTCCTGAGTCTTTGTGCTTAATGCCTATTGTCCCCAGCCTCCACACCCTCTCCTGTCTCAGCAGCCTTCCAATTCCAGGTCTGTGGTCCCACTTCTTATGCCCCAAGACTGCCTGGAGCTGCTTGGGTTGAGCACGCAGCCCTGCTCTGAGCCCTGCTCTGCTCTGCTCATGTGCCCTTTCCTACTTGTCCAGGTGTCCTCAAGCCATTCCTCCATGAGGGTGGCTGGTGGTAGAGAGGGCATGATGGCCCAGCTACTGGAGGCTAGTCTTTGCCACAGAGAATGGAATCTAGCCCTTGCCGTAGCTCTTGTAGAAACCCAAGGGGACCCAAAGTGCATCCCTCAAAACACTGACCCTGCAACCCTGCCAAGTTGTTCACGGGAAATGTAAAATCGGTTCCGTGGTGAAAGAAGTGTGGGCAACGTACTGTACTCTAGGCCCCATGTGGGGACACGTGTCATGCTCACACAGCTGATTAAAGAGATCAAAAAGACCCCCAGTAAAGAATCTATTTAAGACCCACAGTAAAGAATCTATTTACATTTTTAACCCAGCTTTTTTCAAGTGGATGTGGCCTTGAAGACATTTTTCTGTGTAGCACTATTAGCACCCGCAGAGCTGGTGTCAGTTCTGCCTGGAAAGTCTGCCCCAGTTTGGAGCTCTCACCCCTAACCCGTGCTTGGTCCAGCCCAGCATACTACGCCTGGGGACAGACTCCTTCCTGCTCAGCAAGCAGGCTAGCTTTCCCCACCCAGGTACTAGACACCCAACAGCATTTGGCATGAGCCACGCAGCCTGAGAAGATAAACAGCCTGAGGGGGTGAGGGGCCTCTGATGCGTGGGAAATGTCGCTGGCCAGGTGGGAGGGGTGCAGGTCTGCGTGAGACCGGAGACACACTCTGTCACACATCCTGCTAACCCCAGAGGGACCAGCACAGAGGGGCCCAGCCATGCAAATTGGGACTTAAATTTAACTCTATGTAAATGTAACTCTATGTAAAAGTCTAGTAAAGTAGCAGGTAAGCTCATTGATCTCTCAAAGAGAGACAGATGGGCAGCAGCTGCGAAGTGGAGGCCCCTGGACTGCCTCCAGCCCATAGACAGGTTTTGTTTGACCAGCACCACGTTTGTTTGTTTGGCTGGCTGGTTGGTTTCTGATTGCAGGACATTTCACATGAAAATCTGGCTTCTTATTTCTCTTAAAACAGTAGAAGATCAGGAAGTGCTGAGCTCATGTCCCCAGTTGGCAACAATTGGCGGGTACTGAGAGAGTCACTGCCTTTACTGAAAGCATGACCCCACCTGGCTGATTTCTGTTTTCTCCCAGCCTCCCCCGTCCCCGGGCTTATCTGAGTGGGATTCTTGGACCACATTCTCCTAAGTCCTCCTAGAGCCCTCTAAATGCTGTCCTGCAATCACACTTAATTATTAGTTTTAGAGTAATTCTGTTCTTGATCTTTAAAATCAGATTTTTGGCCATGGCTCTCCCCTACATAAAATCCTTCACTAGTTGTCTCAAGGTGAGCTTCAAGTTACCCCAAGGCCTGGGATTCAAGGTACCCAGTAGTCTGGTGCCACTCAAAGCCTGAGAGCTGGGCAGGAAGTTTGTAAAATTATGGATGGATGAATGGACGGATGGATGGGTGGATGGATGGATAGAAGGAAGGAAGGAAGGAAGGAAGGAAGGAAGGAAGGCAGGCTAGGAAGAGAGACGGGCTAGCTGAACAGAGTTCTTAGGCAGACAGAATAGACATGGCATATCCACAAAAGGCCCCATGGACTTCCAGAATTCACATCATGCAATACAACCAGATGTGGTCCTCCTACGATCAGGGAAGAGGGATTGGGCTTGGTGGGTGAGCGAGAAAAGCCATCTGAAAAGAGTAAGCGACCAGATGGCTCAAAGACAAACTCTTCTCAGCCCAGGCTCCTGCCTAGACACAGCACCATGCATCTCCTCGGCCCCTTGCTCCTGCTCCTTGGTAAGGACTGTGGCCTAGGCTTGGGTTCTGGGATGTCTGTGGGAGCTGGAGGAGGAGGAGGAAAGCTCTGGAGCAAAGAGTAAGTGTTGGGGAGGGTGGGGACAGGCAGGGTATGTGTGTGTGTGTATACACTTCTCTGTGTACCTTCCTCTCTCCCTCTATCTTTGGAGGGGAGTCTTTATTCATTTGAAAGCTCTTTATGTCTCTCAATAAAGCTTTTTGATCACTGTGGTGGGTTCCAGAATACTTGGCCTTCTCTGACTCATCCTATTGGAGGTTTAATCACCCCCACACTCTCTACACCTGGGAAAAGGCCTGCGTCTGGATTCCCTGTACCTACACGATTCCAGAGAGAGATAGTGTGCTGGAAAAGCTGACCGTGTACAGCAACTATGAATATAATGACACCACCAAGGACTTCCAGGGGTCCATTCTCTATGAGACCAAAGATTTTAAGAATAATCCTCCTCAGGAGATGAGGGTTCAGTTCCTGGGAAACAAAAATCTCAACTGCACCCTCCACATCAACCCTGTGTCTAAAGAAGACAATGGCTGGCTGGGAATCAGAGTGAATACGAAGACTGACAAATGGATGGAGAAAATAAACCTCAACGTCTCTAGTAAGACCCTGAGGGATGGGTTGTGGGCAAGGAGGGAGGTGGGAACCACTCAACTCTGGGGACAGGGGTGCAAGCCAGGCTGCCTGTAGAAGCCAGGCAGGAGGTGCCAGTAAGTGACTCAGGCAACACAAGACAGTGGCGGCTGTGGCAGGCTGCAGCCTGGGCACCCGTCTCTCCTCAAGCATCTCACCTGCCACTTAGCTCCCGCCCATTCTGGAATCTGGGTCCGGGGTTGCCTGATTTTTCAAGAGAAGATGGAAATGTGGATTTTCAAGTGAAATCTCCTAATGCTTTAATGTTGATGGTTAATTCTAATAAGGCCTCCATGGCTAAATGAGACCCCTGTAGGAGATGAGTCGAGCATAGGCCTGGGACCTCTACCCCACAGCCTGTTTCTTCGGTGCGGGAGGAGGGGGGTTCTAAGCAGCCCTCCACCGCAATGATGGATGTAGCTTCAGACCTGCAGTTCTAGGGTGGCCCAGCCCTGGGGATTCCCTAAAGGAATGCCATGCTGGGTGTGTCCAGCATTGAGGCCATTAGTTACAAAGGCAGGTTTGTCCTCCAAGAAGCCAAGAAAGGCATGGTGACCTAAACTGATAAAATTCCCTTGAGGTGAGGGAGTGAGCTTGCAAATGTGAGCACACATCAGGGAAGGACAACGAGGTAAGTATAAAATATAAATATAAAATACGATTCCTAAGGAGCATCAGCATTTACAAGACCTTCTAGAGAATGCTTCGGCTGAGCAAAAGTGACCCAAAGCAGAGAAAGGCAGGCCCAGAGAGAGGTGGAAGGGACTGGCTCGGGGGAGGGGGGCTCCTGAGGGGTTAATTGGGGTGGGGCATCTAACGCCAGGTGTGGGAGGCTGGCATTTGCTCCCCCCAAGGTCTCCCAGGCCTCCAGCACGGCCCCTCCTCTTTCGCAGAGACGCCGCTTCCACCTCACATCCAGCTCCCTCCAGAAATCCAGGAGTCCCAGGAAGTCACTCTGACCTGCCTGCTGAATTTCTCCTGCCCTGGGTTCCCGATCCAACTGAAGTGGTCCCTGCAGGAGCCTGCCGTCACCCTGACCTCCCTGAGCACCAAGACCGTCTCCACCCAGAGCAAGCTCACCTTCCGGCCGCAGTGGACGCACCACGGCAAGAACCTGACCTGCCAGCTCTGGGATCATAAAGCGGAGCGGGTGCTCTCTGAGGACACGGTGTGCCTGGATGTGAAGCGTGAGTGTCCCCAGTGCCCCACCCCGGGGAAGGACGTGGGTCTTGTCTCTTTTCCCCAACCCCGCAGAGGGTAGCGGGCACCTACACAGAAGGAAGCATGATCAATGCGTGGACCCACGCAGCTGGGGGAGGTCCAGCCAGGGCTGCGTCCCTCCGCCACCCCAGTGGTCAGCCCCAGGGTTTCAGGGAACAGATTCATCGTAGCATCTGCTTTGGTCTAACAGGATAACATAATTCAATATCCTCGAGCCATGACGTGAGTTGGAGATCATGTGGTTAAGTGTTTTTGTTCCCCCAGAGGGGGAGGGTGTTGGGGTAAGAAATGTTTTCATGTCATTGTGCCTCACTCACTCACTCATTCATTCATTCATTCATTCAATAAATATTTACTACGAGCCTCCTAGGTGCCAGGCCTGTTCTTGCCCATGAGGAGCTAGCACTGCAGTGGGGAAGACAAACAATGAACAGATTAACAAAGAAATATGGAACTTAACTGGAGGCAGTGATAAGTGTAGCAGGAGGAAGTAAGGCCCAGCTTGGCCAGAGGAAGCGAGAGAGGGAGGTGAACTTGGGTGAAGGGAAACACGGAGGCAGGCAGGTATTTGCCAGAAGATCCCAGGAAGAGGAAAGAACAAGGACTAAGGCCTGGCGGTAGGAGCTTGGTGTGCCTGCGACAGAGCAAGGGGCCAGAGAACCTCAGCCCTGCGTCCCAAGGGCCCAATGGTAGGAAAGATGAGCCACGGCCAGACCTCATAGGTGGCAGCAGGGTTTTGGATTTTATTCTGGGTGTGGAGTCCGCTGAATGGTTTCAATTAGGGGAGTGGCAAAGTCTGATTGATGGAGTTAGGAAGACGGCTGGCTGCTGGTGGAGACCAGAACTTCTGGGAACAAGTCGGAGGAGTGATGCTCAGAGCAGAGAGACACGTTAAGAGTCTGTGATAGTCACCTGGGCCCTTGGGCCAGCCCACACCCGTGGACCGGGGGAGTGGCGAGTGGCTGCACACACTTGCACGCGAAGTGTAGGCCGCTGCTTTATGTGAATCGAAGCCCTGCAACTTCCCACCACGTCACACCCTCTGAGAATTCCCTACCCCCTCTCCCACTGCCTCTCTGCTCCTCTAGATGTCCCAAAGTTGAAGATTGAGGTCAGTCCCGGAGGAGCCAATGTAACAGAGGGAGAGTCTGTGATCATGACGTGCCAAGTTATCAGCAGCAACCCAGAGTACCGGAGAATAGCCTGGCTCAAGGATGGGAACACACTGCAGGAGCAGGAGACATTCACACTAACTCTGTCCCCTGTGACCAAGAAGATGAGTGGAAAGTACCAGTGTGAGGCCTTCAATGATGTAGGCTCGGGACAGTCGGATGGAGTGGTCCTTCAAGTATACTGTGAGCCTCCTGGGAGCCGGAAGGGGGGCAGGCAGGGAGTCAGCAGTGGGTGGAAGCAAGGCCCTTGAGAGGTGAACAACAGAGGCCTCTGCTCACCTCCCTCCCCTGCCTCTGCACCTTTTTCCAGATGCTCCGGAACCTTCCAGGGTTGAGATCCTCTCCTCGCCAGCTAAGGAGAGAAATAGAGTAGAGATGACCTGTGTGTCACTGGCCAATCCTCCTCCAACAAATTACACCTGGTATCACAATGATAGAGAAGTGCCAGGAATTACAGGCAAGGCCTTCCAGATCCCAGCGGTCCTCGTCGGGCATGCTGGGAGTTATTCCTGCTTGGCACAAAACAGCCTTGGTCTTGGACAAGTTGGCCAGAAAGCTGAGTTAGACGTCCAATGTGAGTAGTCACAGGGCCTCTGGGTTCTTGAGGGTTAAGGAGGAAGGCAGATGGAGCCCAGGCGATTCCTGGGTCCTAGAGTGGATGGCATGCAGAGGTCGGGGTCTCCCAACACGTACGCTCCTTGGGTGGGTGCTTTGCTGCTCTTCCCAGTTGTATACTCAGCACCAGGACAGGGTCTGGCTCATTCGTGGCAGGTGCTCAGTAGATGTTTGTTGAATGAATGAACTGCAAGATGCCAGGGCCTTGTGAGGGACACGGAGGCTTGGTGCCACTGGGCAGTGGCTGAGTCCCAGAGGGGGCCTGACGTTTTGGAGGAGAACTGGAGTAAAGCGTCTCATTGCCTCTCCATCGGAGGTCACACCTTGTTTAGCACAGGGAATCTTGTCAGGCAGCCAAGCCCAGGACAAAGAGAATCCATAAGTTTGATCTTTGGACCCTAATGTCAGGGTCCGAACCAGATACTTTGATGGGGTTGCTCGAATCCTGAACGTGTCGACTCTGGGTGCGCCATAGGCAGCAGCGGCAGCAATGCTTCTGGAGTGAGGATTTCATTTCGTTTCATTTCCTCCTTGCAATGATTCTAGCAGGTTAGGGGCCCTTTGGGTTCCATCTGACAGATAAGCAAACTGAGTCCCACGGCCCACAGTCACTCAACGCTGAATCACAGGGTCTGGCCATCTGGTCCAGAGCTGTGCTGTTCCCTCTCCACCCCCCCAACCCCCCAGTGAAGGCCTGCTCCGCGGCCCAGGCCCTGCGGAGACCCCCAGGCAGGGCGCCTCGGCCTCGCACACACCCCGCGTTCTCTACTTGAGCTCTGCTCTGAATCACTACGTCATCTTGCCTCAAACCACAGCCAGGCCAAGTGGCCAGGTTTCCTGTCCTTACACAGATGCAAGAGGGAAGCACAAGCCTTCCTTTGGTTAATTTAGGAACTGTGTGAAAACGGGGGGGGGGGGGGTTGCCTAAGGGGTGGGGGAGGTGGCCCTGGAAGGCAGTCTGGACAGCAGCTGACTCTCCCTTGCCCATCTGTCTGCTTTCTTCCCAGATCCCCCCAAGGAGGTGACCGCAGTGATTCAGAACCCCACGCGGATTCGAGAAGGAGACAATGTGACCGTGTCCTGTAACTATAATTCCAGTAATCCCCGAGTTAGCCAATACGAATGGAACGTCCAAGGCTCCCGGAATAAAGTATTTTCTGAGGTGCTGGTAATTCAGAAAGTCTCCTGGGACGCCAGGCCAATCGCCTGTGCAGCCTGTAACCAGTGGTGTTCGTGGGCTCCCTCTGTCAACCTGGATGTCCAGCGTGAGTGACCGGGCGAGGGGATCCAAGAGGTAGCGCAGCTGGGAAATGGGCTCTAAGGTTAGGGCACTGGGGCCTGGGCCAGAACCTTCACAGAGAATTGAGGGCTGAGAGTCTGGCCTCAAGGCCAAGGGGAGAGGAAATCCCGGGGTTGGGGGTGGGGGAGGAAGAGGGAAAGGGACCCAAGAGGTCAGCCGGAGCCCCTTGCTTTCCAGATGCCCCCAAGGACGTCAGGGTCCAGCAGACCAGCCCCTCTTCTGAGATTCACTCCGGGCACCGAGTCCTCCTGGGATGTAACTTCTCAAGCAGCCGCCCCAGAGATGTCCGCTTCTTCTGGAAGAAAAATGGAATCTTCCTGAAGGAAGGAAGAGAACTGAGCTTTGACTCCATCTCTCCAGAAGATGCTGGCATTTATAACTGCCTGGTGAACAACTCCATTGGACAGACCATGTCTGAGGCCAAGATGCTCCGAGTGCTGTGTGAGTGGCGGGTGCTGGAGACACGCGGGACGGCAGGTGACAGTGATCTGGGATCCTGATTCCTTCGCGTCTCTCTACAGACGCACCAAGGATGCTGCGCGTGGCCATTAGCCCGAAGGATGAAGTGATAGAGGGGAAGAAGGCAGTCCTGACCTGCGAGAGCGATGCCAACCCTCCCATCCTCCAGTACGCCTGGTTTGACTGGAATAACCAAAACCTCCGCCACTATGATCAGATGCTGAGATTGGATCCGGTGAAGGTCCAGCATTCCGGCGCCTATCGGTGCCAGGCGACCAACCGGCTGGGCACAGGCCAGTCGCCCCCCGGCACCCTCACTGTCTACTGTAAGGCCGCTTCCCTGTCCTTCTCTGCCCCGCCTTCTCCTTCCCTCCCCCGCCGCCCCTCCCCTGTCCTTGGGGCAGCCCAGCGGGTCACTCCCGGGCATGGCACCTGCTCCACACAGGCTAACCTGTCTTCCTCCTCCCAGTCTCTTCTGACCCCCTCTAGGGGGGTTGCTTCTCAGGCTGCCCCTGCCCTCCAGACATCCTGAGCTGCTACCGGGTCCCTCTTTGTCTCACCCTTGATAGGCTGCTTCCTTCTCTTTATCTTTTGAGATCTCAGTAGTTTTTTTTTTTTTTTTAAGACAAGGTAAGATAAAACAGCATGAAAGGGTAAATAGTAGAGACACCTCTCCTTTCTTTCTCCCTGAGGACTCCCCTCCCTCCCTGAAGGTCTCCACTACTGGCAGCTGGTTGCCTCTCCTCACAGAGCTACTCTGGACACGCACAGTCGCATAAGTGGATCTATGTCTCTATACCCTTCGTCTCGCAAATCGTGGGAGAGCTCGCATGTTGCCCTGGACGTTCTTTTTTTTTTTTTTTCCACGTAACAATTCCACTCGGAGCTTGTTCTATATCCCTGCGTGTACGGGGCGTCTGAAGAGTCTGAAAACAATAGGGAAGAAATTTAATTGATTTATTGCCCTTTTCAGATTAAACTTGGAGCCTGACTTTAAATTTAGGAGATCATGGCCTGCAAAGCTTGGAGACCTGAGTGTGTTATTTGGAAATGCAACATGTTGTATAAAAATCTATTTTGGGGGTCTCCCCTTTGCAGACACCCCTGGAGACCTGCCTCTTGCCCGCAGGGCTGCACGGCCGTTGTATTCCCATGCACGTCTACCCTGTGCCTTTCCCACAGCCCAGAGTGTCCCCGGCTCTGTCCCACTCAGGGACAGCTGCAGAAGTCCCTACATGGAAATGCTGTGTCAAAGGCCAAGTGATTTTAAGTTCTGATAAGTCTGGCTAAGCTGCCTCTAAAGAAGTTGTAGGTTTTACTGTATATTGTGTGTGTTGGGAAGAATTAGCCCTTTCCTCCCAATGGGGCCTGGGGGGCGGGGAGCAGGGGCTGGCTTTTCCCTTTCCCTGTGTCCCCTCCCCTACCTGCGGGAGGAGAAGTTGCACAGGCAAGGGCAGTGGCCACGCAGAGAAGTGGAGGATGGATGCCTTCCCGGTGAACGGTGAACGAGCCAGCCGTGACCCCAGAGAGGCAGCGTTCCCAACTCACGGTCGCTCCTTCCCCCACCAGACAGCCCGGAGACCATCGGCAGGAGAGTGGCCGTGGGCGTGGGTTTCTGTCTGGCCACGCTCCTCCTGGCATTCTGGGGAGTCAAGCTGCAGCGCAGGTGAGCGCCCCCCCCGAGGCCCAGGTGAGCACCTCCTGAGGCCCAGGTCCTGGGCTCCCCCTGACTCCTTCCCTGGCCACCCCCTAGCCCCCAGATGCCCACTGCACAGGGTCGTGGTCCCACTGCCCTGATCCTCACCGAGCTGGTCATTATCTCCTAGCTGGAAGAGGATACGGAGCCAGCAGGGGCTCCAGGAAAATTCTAGTGGGCAGAGCTTCTTTGTGAGGAATAAAAAGGTAGGATATGGGAAAAGATGAAACAGAGAGCAGACAGAGATGCATCAAAGACGGGGTGCAAAGAACACTGTGGGGAGGTCTGGGGGTCAGAGGCCAGGGGTGGGGGACTCAGGTGGAGAAAGGAGTGGTGGGAACTGAGGCCTTGTCTCTCTCCCAGATTAGAAGGGTCCCGGTCTCCGAAGACCCCCACTCCCTGGGCTGCTACAACCCTGTGATGGAAGATGCCATCAGTTACGCCACCTTGCGATTTCCTGTTGGCGAGACCAACACACCAAGAACTAGGTACTGAGTGAGGGAGGGCCCCCGGGGGATGGTGACACTGGCAGCCAGGGAGGGCAGCGGGAGGAGCAGCTCATGTCCCGCTTACCCTCTTTATGGCACACCCATGAGCCAGGCTCTGCTCTGGGGTGCTCTTGGGGTCTAGGGGAGTTGGAAATAAGAGAGTTCGAGTGAAAGGCTGCATCTGCGGCCGTCCATCTACATCTACCCTCCCTCAGAGATGCAGGGACCCTGGAGGCAGAGGGACCTTCTCCAAACAGGGACGACACCGTCACTTACTCTGTCTTGCAGAAGCGTCGAGTGGTAAGAGGGCAGGGCTGTGGAAGGTGGGGGTGGGTTGGGGCTGGCCTCAGCTGTGAGTCCCAAAAGGAAAGGACTTGGTGGCCTTAGTGGTGGCAAGGGCTGGGGGGGGGGGGGGTGCCCAGGCACAGGTGCGGCCGGAGCCAGAGCCACACCTCCCAGGCCGAGAAGCTGATTGCAGCCAGCGTGTGTGAACAAAGGGACCTGCTCAGGCTCTTGGACCCCCAAGAGGAGCCAGAGAGACAACAGGCAGGGGATACAGACCAGGAGCCAACCTCACACAGGGCCTTTCTCAGGGCGACTATGAGAACGTGGTTCCAGAAAATGTAGAAGACGAGGGGATACATTACTCGGAGCTGGTTCATCTTGGGGTTGGGGAGCGGCCTCTGGGCCAGGAAGCGGTGGAGTACGTGACCCTCAAGCACTGACAGGCCAACCCCATGGAAGCAGAGGCTCTGAGAGACTGCAAAGGCCAGGTGGGCGTCGAGCTCGCCCGGGGACTGCTGCTCAGCTGCAAAGTCCCGCGGCCTCCCCGCCAACTTACATGCACACACACACACGCACACGCACACGCATGCATGCACACGCACACAATTACCGAAACCTCAGTCGGCGCACAGAACTTCCTCCGTGGCCCAGAGACAGGCCCCCCTCTCAACACTGGTAACCCTGCCCCCCCTCCCGAAGGCCTGCTCCCCGTCCACTCTCCTTCCCATACGGGGAGTCATCTAAACACCTACCCTGCACTGCCCAAATCATCTTGCCCATCCCCGACCATCTGCCACCCCCTATCCCCTCTCAAACCCCGTCCACAGAGGCCCGTGTCCCTGCTGGGATCAGCTTGTTACTGTATTTTTTTCCTTTCCCTCTCCAACCTTCGAGCCCCTTACCCCTGCTCTGAAAGCCCCACTCACGAATCCTGTGTCTAGTTTCTTCTGCCTCTGGGGCAAAGCGCAGGGAAAGAGGGGCTGTCCTGAGCTGGGGCTGGGCTCTCCTCCACGTGTCAGCGAGGCATTCCATTAGCTGCTGCGCCCCCCCCACCCTTCCCCCAGGGGTCTGGGGGGCTGAGACACATGCCGACGTGGACAGACGTATAACACACACAGAGCTGCACAATAAAAATGGCTCAGATGCCACTTCAAAGAACCTGTGCACTGTTTCCAGTCCGTGGGGTCAGAGTGAGAATGGGGAGATTTGGGAGAAGGGAAATGAATGGAGGCAACCTCAGGATCAGACTTGGCGGGGGGGGGGGGTGTCCATTGTCTTATTGCAAAGAACGCACTGGCCCTGCAGGCAGACGGGCAGGAGGCTGAGCCCTGACTCTTCCACTTCACTGGCGCAGGGACCCTGGGCAAGCTCACCAGCTTACTGAGCCTCATGTCTGTAAAATGGAGCTGCCACTACTCACGGTGCCGGTGGTTCAAGAGAGGAAGTGAGGGCCAATCGTACATATGCTGGAGTCACATTATAAGAAACCTGACACAACAGCCAAGAGTCTCTAAAAACCAGATTGCTATCTTCTTTGCCTCATAAGATGGACCTAAGAAGGGGAAGCCTCTCCGTCACTCCAAGCTGCTCTCAAAAGTCACCCTGCCAAGGTTGGTCATGACCCACAGTTGTCCACAGTTGCCCAAGAGCTTCTCGAAAGGCAACTGCCTTGAGAAACCTCACCGCTTTTCTCTTACCTACCGTCACTGCCACCAGTTCCCTGTCATGTTCTGCTAACTCTGACTTTCCAGCGAGGTCCCTTCCAGCTTCCCCTCCGCTTCTCAGGTTTGACCTTTCTCCACCTATTCTTAGAAACAGAAACATGTGGTCCATCAATCGGCGAGAGGATGCGAATTCCTGGCCTGTGGTGGGTGCTCCCCAAGTTCCACCTTGCTTCCTTGCCCTCCCTTCCCATCTGCTCAGTTCCCGAATGCTCCCTGAGAAGACAACGCTCTGGTCCTCCCGGAATTACGCCAGAGCGGGGCACTGATTTCCCCATCAATCCACTTTGTCCGCAGTGTGATTGAGCATTTCTGGAGGAAGGGGAGACTGCAAGAACTCCCTTTCAGGGAGAGAGTAGGGGTTTGGGGTTACTGTCTCAAGAATGAAGTCCAGTATCGCTCACACATTCAACTCTTTATTCAGCAAATATTTACCCAGCACGCGTCAATGCATCCAGCATAGAGCAGTCATTGGGACACAGAAAAGAAATGGCATATGCCTAATCTGGGGGATCTCTAGTCTTGGGTGCCCAAAAGGTTTCAGGGCAGGATCCCCTCAAAGGAGCTGAAGACAGCCTTGACCCCAGTGAGGCCTGGCACAGGCTCCCTGGCAACCAGCAGGTGCCCCGCCAGCCTGTCCAAGCCCAGCTGCTGACATAAACCTACTTCGTGACCAATTGCCCGAGAGATGTGGCTGTAATAGGCACCGCGGAGGTGTGCAGGGCAGGTGGTCAGACAACTCCAAAGCCAGGGACTCCTGAATCCAGGCAGTCCTCCACCCTGCCCCCCAGCTCACTGTCCTCCCAGGGCCCAGAAAACTGGCCATTCACTCAATTCCCGAGCCCCTACCATGTAGGGGTGGACAAAGCAGACAGAAACCTTAGGCCTCACTGACCAACATCCTAGCAGAGGAGCCAGCAAATCTGATGTCACAGGCTCATAGTGCTAGGGATAAACACAGCCCAAGATAAAGACGGAGAGACAGGAGCAGGGCAGGGGCCCATCCGGAGAGGGTTCAAGGGAGGCCCTCTGAGGGGGTGACGCAGGGCACAGATCTGAACGCCAGATGCGTGGGGCCAAAGCAGAGATCTTGAAGGTCTGATGTCTCCCTTCACACCTTGCTTTTCTCCTCTTCCAAACACTTGTTATAGGGGGTGAAATGGCCCTTCTGATTTTTCCCTTGGTTTTGTTGGTTCCCAAGGATAAAATACTAAACAACAGATGGCGAGTTCTTCTCTATCCCCAGGGAGGTGCTGGACCACATATGCAGGCCATGGGAGGGAAGCAACCAAGAGTCAGTTTAGCAAATGAAGTAGGGAAGGGGGGATGGATTCAGTCATTTCTTTGGAGGCAATTGTTGGTGCCCCGAGAATCCCGTGCTGCCCCCACCCGAAGCCTGGGGGGCAGGGGGGGACGCTCCCAGGAAACCACTAGCGAAGCTTGTCCTGGGTGCTTGGAATCCGGGAGCACATGATGGCCGGAACACACCCACCAAAACAGAGGAGTCTGAAGTCCAGAGAGCGTTTGTGTTGTCCTAGGCAGAGACAGAGAGACACAGGTATAGTCAGAGACAGAGAGACAAAACCCCCAGACTGTGGCCATTTTAAATCTCACTTAGAAGGGGCACCTGGAGCCTCGGTGCCCATCAAAAGATGAATGGATAAAGAAGCTGTGGTTTATGTATACAATGGAATATTCCTCAGCCATTAGAAACGACAAATACCCACCATTTGCTTCAACGTGGATGGAACTGGAGGGGATTATGCTGAGTGAAGTAAGTCAATCGGAGAAGGACAAACAGTGTATGTTCTCATTCATTTGGGGAATATAAATAATAGTGAAGGGGAATATAAGGGAAGGGAGAAGAAATGTGTGGGAGATATCAGAAAAGGAGACAGAACATAAAGACTCCTAACTCTGGGAAATGAACTAGGGGTGGTGGAAGGGGAGGAGGGCGGGGGGTGGGGGTGAATGGGTGACGGGCACGGAGGGGGACACTTGACGGGATGAGCACTGGGTGTTATTCTGTATGTTGGTAAATTGAACACCAATAAAAATTAATTTATAAAAAAAAAAGAAGGGGCACCTGGGTGGCTCAGTGGTGGAGCATCTGCCTGTGGCTCAGGGCGTGATCCCGGAGTCCTGGGAGCAGGGAGCCTGCTTCTCCCTCTGCCTATGTCTCTGTGTCTCTCTCTGTGTCTCTCATGAATAAATAAATAAAATCTTAAAAAAAAAATCTTCCTAGAAGGGTAAAGTGACCCCCACAGGGAGTAAGTGGGTGAATTCTCCGAGGCTGAGAAGAAAGCTAAGCAGTGCGCTGGAGTCTCGCACCATCCATGCCTTGAACCATCCGCCCAGCATTGGTCCAAGTGTCCCAGAGGGACACAGTATGGGGACCACGGTCCGGCACTTCAGGGCCACCCAACAAGACCCGTCCCTCGTCTGTCCTTTGCACTGGCACCAGAAGGGTCAGAAACTACTGTCATCGAGCCAGAGGGGAAAGGACAGGGAACACAGGAGCACACTTCTCCTCTCAAAATGTGCCCACCATCTGTGGGGGTCCGGGGAGGGCAGAGGAGACATCCTGAAATGATTACTTCATTGTCTCACATTCTAGTCACCGAATGGCCGTGGGGTGGGCCACCAAAGTTTGTGGTGTCTGAGTGGGCCCGTAAGGCCGGGAGGAGAGAAGACAGCGCCCAGGGCAGGGCTGAACAGGCTGCGGTGGGGTGGGATCAAGCCGTAGCCTGGACGCCCCCCACAACCCTGCTCCTTTAAGGGACTGGCTACACACGCCTCACACTACCCCTCATTGCTCCCCAGCCCCCGTCCTGTGTTTGCATCATCTGTTTGGACCCGTACCCCGGCCTCGGCTCCTGCGCGAGATGCCCCATTAGCTGCTCACCCAGGCTGCTGCAGCCTCGGGCTAATGGCCCTGCCTCCCCGCCCTCCTCTCCCTTCCGGCTCAGTGCCCATCCTGGACGCCCTCCCTCAGCCCAGTGAGGGGGACTCCTGAGCCTCAGAGACATCTGGCAGCGCCAAGAGGTGAGTCCCTCTTCTTGTGGCTCCTCTCTCCTGCGATTATCCCCCAGGCCCCCCAGCCTACCTGCCCGGGGCGCCCCCTGAGGTTGGCTAAGGTCATTCCGGGTGGCACTGATGGGGCCTGGCCTGCCTTTGGGCTCAGCCCCACGTTGCCCTGCTTCGCCTGCCCTTTACCCACCTTACCCCAATCCTGACAGACCCCTCAGCTAGGAGTCGCCACCAGCCCACCACCGGCTGCCACGCAGGCGCCCCCTGTCCCTGCTGTCTCTTCCCAGGGGATCGGGGAGGGAGTCTAACTTCCAGTCCTCTGAGAAAAACATGTACGCCATATGCTGGGGCCGACTCTGTCCTGACTTTCTGCCCCTTCTCTCCCCAGTCTCAGAAACCAGGAGGCCTTTCCTCGAACGGGACCTGCTTGCTTCCTTTGTGCTTTAAGCGAGGATACGAGGATACGGAGGACAGGAAGCAGAGGCCCGAGCTAGAGACCTCACTTGGCGCCCAGGCTCGCCTGCTCCCTGGGGCCTCCCTCGTTGAGATAGTTGGTGTCGCGCTACATGGCTTCTAGCGCCTGGGGCGGTCCGTGACCCCGGGACCCCCTGCCCTGCCCCCCCACCCTGCCCGGGGCCCATCCCAGGGTGGGGAGCGAGGGGAGCTCAGCCCTGGCCCCATGGACCTGCCCCCGCAGCTCTTCTTCGCCCTCTATGTGGCCGCCTTCGCGCTGGGCTTCCCGCTCAACATCCTGGCCATCGGGGGCGCCGTGTCCCACGCCCGGCTCCGCCTCACCCCCAGCCTCGTCTACGCCCTCCACCTGGGCTTCTCTGACCTCCTGCTGGCGGCCTCCCTGCCCCTGAAGGCGGTGGAGGCGCTGGCCCTGGGCGCCTGGCCTCTGCCCGCCCCGCTCTGCCCCGCCTTTGCCCTGGCCCACTTCGCGCCCCTGTACGCCGGCGGGGGCTTCCTGGCTGCCCTGAGCGTCGGCCGCTACCTGGGGGCCGCCTTCCCCTTGGGCTACCAAGCGGCCCGCAGGCCGCGCTACTCCTGGGCCGTGTGCGCTGCCATATGGGCCCTGGTCCTCTGTCACCTGGGGTTGGTCTTCGGGCTGGAGGCTCCGGGAGGCTGGGTGGACAACACCACCAGCTCCCTGGGCATCAACACGCCGGTCAACGGCTCTCCAGTCTGCCTGGAGGCCTGGGACCCTGCCTCAGCGGGCCCCGCTCGCCTCACCCTCTCTCTCCTGCTCTTCTTCCTGCCCCTGACCATCACGGCCTTCTGCTACGTGGGCTGCCTCCGGGCACTGGCCCGCTCAGGCCTGAGCCACAGACGGAAGCTAAGGGCAGCCTGGGTGGCCGGTGGGGCTCTGCTCACGCTGCTGTTCTGCTTAGGACCTTACAATGCCTCCAACGTGGCTGGCTTCCTGCGCCCCGACATAGGAGGCTGCTGGCGGAAACTGGGGCTCATCATGGGGGCTTGGAGTGTGGTGCTCAACCCGCTGGTGACTGGCTACTTGGGAAGGGGCACCGGCCGGGTGACAAGTGTGGCAAGAACGAAAGGAGGGACATCTCAGAAGTAGTAGCCGCTGCTGGGGACAAGGGGCTTGGAGCAGGAGGGCCTGGCTGCCTGGCCGGGCCCCTGCTGGGGACTCCTCCAGAGGAGCTGCAGCGCAGCCTTGCCTGGGAGCATCCCTGGAGCGGCTCGGAAAGGCCCGAGCCCGGCAGAAGGCCGCACCCCAGCTGCAGGGAAGAACGGAGGCCAGGAGCTAGGTCACAGAAGGAAGGTAAGCTTGCCTCTGGGCCCATCGGCGCAACTCCCCACCTGTGCCCGTCCCTCTTCTCCCCGTGCCCCCCCCCCGCCAGTGCTACGGAGGTTTTCCTCCAACGTTGAGGAAAGGTCGCTCTGCCGATACCCTTTGGGAGATGCTACTCCCAACGCGTGGCCTAGGAAAGAACATCTTCATTTCGGAGTAAGAGGCAGGAGTCAAGATACTGACGCTGTTATACCACTTGGGACTCACAAGAGGGCAGCATTGGAACTGTGAACAGGAAGTTGGTAGGAAAAAGGATGCTCCAGCCGGGAGAGGGAAAATACTAGCAACACCAGAAATAGTCACCTAACCAATAGAGTCTCTAAGGTGTGGTAGTCACCACATGCAGCGCTTTTCAAGTGTTGTCCCACTTCACGCAATGCTCTGATTTGGCCATGCCGCTGCTGTACGGATGGGCAGCTTGTTCACTGCACAAACGTGCCAGGCAGAGGGGCAAACATTTACTACATTTCAACCTGGGCTTTGCTCACCGAGCCATGTGCCCTGCAAGGGGCTGCTTCCGTCTAGAGGAAGGAGCATATTATTCTAATTTGAGCAAAGATACCACTTGTTCCTCAAGCAGTGCACCCCGGTGGAGGGTGCTGCCTCCTGGAGGGGGTGTGGGGGGGTGCATTTACCTAATTACGCAGCACAGAGGCACTGCAAAAGTTAGCTACGGTCCCGGAGCCAAGTGTTATTACTGTCTTCATTTTGCAGGTTAAGAAATGGGGGAAAGGAGGGAAAATGAGTGGGAATAAATAGAGACTCCTAACTCTGGGAAACGAACAAGGGGTGGAAGGGAGGCGGGAGAGGGGATGGGGTGACTGGGTGATGGGCACTAAGGGGGGGCACTTGACAGGATGAGCACTGGGTGTCATACTATATGTTGGAACTTCAATTAAAAAAAATATATATATATAAAGAAAGCAACTTTCCAGGGCTCTACAGCAAGGGAGGGGTGGATGCGGGATGCCATCCTTCAAGGCAGGACCCCGAAGGGTCAGGGGAGATTTGAAAACTTTGGGGTATCGAGGTTCATGCCTGTCCCTGTGGTCCACTTTGCAAAGGTGAATGGTGGCACCTGGACCCCTCGGGAGAGCTGTAGAGGGAGTGGCCACGGAGGAGACAAACCTTGGGGCATCTGCTCTGATGAGGCGCGATGCAGGAAGCAGACTCGTTCCTCTAAAGACAGCCATGCCACGCACACAGAGGACACAAAAAGGCCTGGTGTGCATGGACGGGTTTATACCAGCTTCAATGTCTACAAGGGCAAGGAGTTTTATTTGCTGATACGTTCCCGGCACCTAGAGGGGAGCGTTGGCACCTTAGTAGGATCTCGGCAAATGTTTGCTGAACGAATGACTGTTCACAACAGCCTTCGGAAGGAAATTTTATTATCTGTTTTATAATTAAATGAAAACAGACCAGAGAAGTCACGAAACTGGCCTGAAGCTCCACAGAAGCGAGGAACAAGTTTATTCCCCGCACAGTGGTGACACCAGAGAATTTCAGCGTAAGCCAAACTCTAGCCCACGCGGCCTCACTGCCCCTCCCAGCAAGCCAGGGCCGCTCGCTCTCCCACTGCTCTGGAGCACCTGCTGCTGCCGGACCACTTCTTCCAGTTAATTGTGTCTGCTCCACTTAGGGGTGGAACTTAGTTCCTCCCGAGGGTCCCCGAAGCCCCACATGACCCGCCCCCAGCGCCCTCGTGACCCTTGCCCCTACGAAGCTCCTTCTACAGGTTCCCCAGGAGGTCACCCGTGCACCCGCTAGTCTGTTCACCTGCAGGCTTCCCCGGTGGTTCCCTGCCCCTGTGTCACCGAGTCTTTATTCCCCTCCGACCACTCAGTCCCCCGAGACCTCACTACCACCCAACCCGTGACAGCAAAAACTTTGCTGTGGTCTCCTTTTTTAACAATTTATTTGAGATAAAATGTATGTGTTCTACAATTCACCCATTTTAAGTGCACTAGTCCATGAGTTTTAGGAAGTTTGCTGAGGTGCGCGACTATCACTATCATCCAGTTTAGGACATTTTCATCAGCCCAGTAAGGCCCCACCTGCTCATTCACGGTTAATCCCCCTAAGTCCCCAGGCAACTAGTAATCTACTTCCTGTATGCACAAATTTGCCTATTCTGGACATTTTGTATAAATGGAAACATACAGCACATGGTCTTTTATGTCTGGCTTGTTTCACTTGGCATGTTTTTGAGGTTCATCCGTGTCCTCGTACTCACAGGTATTTTATTCCATTTTATTGGCAAATAGTATTCCGTTCACCAGCTGGCTGTTATGAATAATGCTATTTTGCTTACGTGGATCCTATAGTGGAGCTGGGTCACGTGGTCAATTTATATTAATTGTTTTAAGAAACTGCTTTCCAAGGTCACTCTACCATTTTATTATAGTCTTACCAGCAACGTACAAGAGGATTCTCGCCTGGTACCTCTACCTCTTGCCGACCACCTGGTATTGTCTAGTTTTTTTTTGCCTAGGGCCATTCCAGAGGGTATAAAATGGTATCTCACTGTGCTCCATGAATATTTGAATGAATAAATAAATACTCTCTGACGCTGGACAGAACTTGGGTTTGAACCCTGGTGGTGATTCTTACCAAGCTGTATTGCCCGGAGTGAGTCATTCCCTCCCATCCCGTGAGGCACAAGGACAGATTGGCGATGCCTTCGGAGGCAGAGTGTCTGCTACGGATTATGTGCCCCCTAAATCATCATTATCATCATCATTATTGCCATCACCCCGGAGACAAGCCCATACCAGTGACTCGGATGATGGCAGCTAACATCTGTTAAGTATTCATCACAACATGCCAGGTTCCGTTCCCGGCACTTGACAGGTATTAATGCTTTAATAACGACAACCCTATGAGATTGGTACTGTGATTATCCCTGCTTTGCAGATGAGGAAGCAGAGATAGAGTTTACGTCACTTGCCCCCAAAACACAGAGTTAGTGACAGAGTCGGCAGTGCACCCAGGCCACCGGCTCCAGATCCCAGGCTCTCCATCACGGCGTCGTGCTTCCTGCCCTTACAAGGCAAATTGGATGACTGCCATTCCAGAGAAGCAGATAAAATTCAAGTGGAGGATCCGGGAGGGGAAGACAAAGTCGGTCGGCTTGGGGCTGGCTCGAGCATCCTCTCTGAGACAGCCCATGAGCAAGGCGCAGAGTTGTGGAATTTGCTCCTCATTTTGCATACTGGCACGGTGCTGGTAATGGAGCTAAAGGCATCTTTTGTGTGATTGCTCAACGGGGAATGATGTCATGGGTCTTTATCAGTTCTTCCAGATAAAGAGCTAACTATACTGCTCTGCAGGAGCCGACAAGGTGCTGGGGGCAGAGCAGCTGGGTTCTCAAAGAAGCAGGTGAGCAAGGGACCATGAGGGGCTTGGGAAGGGAGGGCCCCTTGGTGCTTGCTTTTCTGGAGAAGCGACAGGGGACAGGACCTGACCAGGAAGACAGCCAGGCTGTCCCTGCTGGAGAAAGTATCAGGGGGCTTGAGGGGCTGGGGGGGAGGTTTCAGTGTTCTCTGCCAGTGGTTGAGATGCCGCTGGCACGAGACACCAAGGTCCGCACTCAGACTAACACCTCCATCTGTCTGTCTTTCTCCAGTGGCCATCACCATGGACACAAGCCCGGACTTGGCCTTCTTCCCCGGCAATCACTGGCTCTACTTCTCTGTGTACCTCTTCACCTTCCTCGTGGGCCTCCCTCTCAACCTGGTGGCCCTGGTGATCTTCCTGGGCAAGCTGCGGCGGCGCCCGGTGGCCGTGGACGTGCTCTTGCTCAACCTGACCATCTCCGACCTGCTCCTGCTGCTCTTCCTGCCATTCCGCATGGTGGAGGCGGCCAGCAGCATGCGCTGGCCCCTGCCCTTCATCTTCTGCCCCTTCTCCGGATTCCTCTTCTTCACCACCATCTATCTTACTTCCCTCTTCCTGGCAGCTGTGAGCGTCGAGCGCTTCCTGAGCGTGGCCTACCCCCTATGGTACAAGGCCCGGCCAAGGCCTAGACAAGCCGGCCTGGTCAGTGGGGCCTGCTGGCTCGTGGCCGGCGCGCACTGCAGCGTGGTCTACATCACTGAATTCTCAGGGAACTCCCCCTACAGCCACACCAACAATGACACCTGCTACTTGGAATTCCAGGAGAACCAGCTGGCTATTCTCCTGCCCGTCAGGCTGGAGATGGCTGTGGTCCTTTTCGGGGTGCCCCTGCTCATCACCAGCTACTGCTACGGCCATCTGGTATGGGTGCTCAGCAGGGGAGCCAGCCACCGGAGGCGGCGGAGGGTGGTTGGGCTTGTGGCAGCCACCCTGCTCAACTTCCTCGTCTGCTTCGGGCCCTACAATGTGTCTCACGTCGTGGGCTACATCCGGGGTGAAAGCCCAGCGTGGAGAAGTTATGTGTTGCTTCTTAGCATCCTGAATTCCTGTGTCGACCCCCTTGTCTACTACTTCTCATCATCCGGATTCCAGGCTGACTTTCACGGGCTGCTGAGAAGGCTGACTGGGGGCTGGCGCCCCTGGAGGGAGGAGGGCAGCCTGAAGCTGAAAGAGAAGAATGAGGAGGGGGGCAGCCGCGGGAGCTGTCCAACGTAGAGAGCAGGGAGTGGACTCCAGAGGGCTGTGGAGTGGGTGCCTGAGCTGCCTAGCACTTCCCAGCTTGAGTCAGGCAGGACTGGGGAGTCGGGGGAGGTGGGGGGGTGCTGGGGACTGAGGCAGCCCGGCAGAGCAGACACCCAGCTTCCCAAGGATGCGCTCGCGGGGCCCAGCTCTCCATCTTCCCCAACTGCCCTCCCTTCCCATCCCCACCCACGCACCCACACCCCATGCTGTGAACTTGGCCCTGGGAAATAGGATGAGAGCGTGTGCTGAAGGAAAATGGGCTCTCAGGGCAGCAGGCCAGCTCCTGGGCTTTTCTGAGGGTAAAAGAGGAGAAGAGAGCCATGAGCAGGGACTGAGGGAGCTGCCGGTGGCTTGGGACGGGAGGTGGAAGCAGCCACCCTTCAGAGCTGCTCCTGCCCAGCAGGTCAAGAGTGGGTACACAGATTCCCAGGCTTGAGGGAGTATCTTGCTCTTATGTGGACTTTTCCAGAAAGTTTCCATTGTTTAGTAAACTCAGATTTTCAGGAATATTTATGAAAAATGACAGAAGAAAAATGACCTAAATAAATCTGGTAGCAAGTAAAAGAGAATGGTTTTTCCTTCTTCTTTTTTTTTTTTTTTCTGGAGAGAGAACATGCATGCATAGACACGCGAGATGGGGGAAGGTGCAGAGGGAGAGGGAGAGAGAATCTCAGGCAGGCTCCACACCCAATGCAGAGCCTGATAAAGGGCTTGATCTCAGGACCCTGAGATCATGACCTGAGCCAAAATCAAGAGTTGGACACTCAACCGACGGAGCCACCCAGGCGCCGCTTTTTCTTATGGTACATGTGGGCCAGATGGGATTGGTGGATGGAAGGATTTTATCCTAGACTCTGAAGGAAAAGGGCTAAAATGCCCAGATGTTGGGAGAGGATCTGGGCTGGAGGAATAAAAATAACAGCTAATTTATGCGAAGGACTTGGCCTGATCCATTATCTTTGATCCTCTCAGCAACCATGTGGCGGGGACTATTATTATTCTCATTTTGCAGAGGAGGGGATGAGCCCCCGACAGGTGAAGTCTCTCTCTTGAGATCCTACAGTCCATGAGTCTGTGAGTGATTGATGCAGGACTGGAGGCCAGAATTAGCTGCCCCAGAATCCTGTGCCCTCACCCACTCTGCTCTTCTGCCTGCAGCTATGTATTATTCACACAGAATGGGCCGGGTCTGTCTTCCAGAGCCAGTGAGACAGTCCAGCCAGGACAAATGTAAACAGGCCACGAGGACAACTGGAATTACATGCAAAGCAGCTTGGCTCTCTGTGTGGCTAAGTCTTCTTCCCGTATTATTAGAAACTCGCTTGAAAAAAAAAATAATCAGCACGGTTGACTTCAAAGACAGATGAACATTCTTAAGAGCTATTTTTATCGAGATGTGACCATTTAGTAAGCCTTCCTTTCCTACTGAAGGGTGGTGCATGAGAAAGAGTGGGTTAGGGCCTCCTCTCCCAGCAAGACAACCAGAGAAATGCGGGCACCTCTTTGTACTCACTCAACTTTGGTTCAAAAAAACATTTGTTGGGCCCCTCCTGTGCAGGTGGCTGGGCTGAGAACCACACGGACTTCCAATACTAACGTCTTCAGCATCCGCTTTCTCCCTGGGGTTAAGGTCACTGGAGAACCAGGGCTGGCTGTTGGGGGTGGGGGAAGATTGGGCTTCAGGTGGAAGGGGACAGACATCATTTCAGTGCAGAGATGAAGGCAGGAGCTGCCTCTCTGACCTGTGACTCATCTTCTGTCCCGAGGCACTCAGCCCTGGTGACAGCTAAGAAGTCAATATGGACACGAGTCTACATGGCTCAGAAAGGGAACAGAGGTGACATGAAGTCCTGTGACTCCAGAATGGGTAACAAAGACCCAACTCGGAACAAGAAGGAGTTGGAAACCCCACGTGCTAGAGAGAGCCATGCAGCACAGGAGCCTGACTCCTCTCCCAGGGTTCATAATGAGGAGTAAGAGGCGGCTTAGAGGGCTTTGCTGCTTCCAACTATCACCCAGCGCCACCCTCTCCCCAGTCTGTATAAGCAAAAGGCTAGAGGTGGGGAGGATAAACAATCATCAGAGGCCAGGGCCGTTGTCTGGGCTGTGTTGAGGGGACAGTGGCAGTGTTTTCCATGTCTTGTGGAAGCCAAGGGAAAGGGGTGCTCAGGGAATGGCAGGTGTGTTCTAGAACCATTACCCTGTGTCCGCCTGGGCAGAGAAATGAGAGTGGCAGACAGTGTCATGGGAGCGTATGTGTGCATGACAGGGAGCATCGTGCCCTCTCACCAGTTGGCAATGCAAGCGGGTGGGAGCTCCCCACAGGTAAGGTAGAAATTCTCGATGCTGGAAGAGGTCAAACCTGTTCCAAGACAGAGGTCAGAAGAACTCAATTCTAGCTGCAACCAAGAGCCGATAAGTAGACACCTACTTATCGAACAATGGACACAAAAAGCTATTCAATATTTAGGGAAAGCACTGTTTCTCAAACTTTTTGTATCTCTGTCCCCTCAAGGAAATTTTTTGGATATTTTTTCCTATTCAGCCCCTTCTTCTCCCCTGCGTGTGAAATTTTAACACAGCAGACACACTCTATACCTGTTTATGGATACAGCCTTTGGAAGGCCACAAACCACTGCTCCCCTACAACTAACTTTCACCTCTTTGGGGGGCAATGTTGGACCTGTTGAGGACGAATGAGCTACAGAACTAGTCTTACCTCACAGAGTGATAAAGCCTGTCGCACACAACTGTAGCCCGACAGAGTGGAATTGATTAGGTTGCTGGAGCAAAGGAAACCACATTCCAGAGGAACCATGGGAATCTCATGAGAGACAAGACAGGGTTATTTTAGGATTTGGGGTAAGGGGAACTTTAGGCAAAGTTTCAGTGAAGCAGGGCTTGACAGGCACAGAGCAAAGAGACCTGTATGCAAAGAGATCCGTTTCAGGCCTGGGCTTTTTCCTTTGGAAAATGGAAAAGATAAAGGCAGAACTTTGAGTCTGAAAACTCTTTCTCTGAAGCTCTGGAGGTTGAAAAGCCAGGCTGCTTCTCCGTGTCACATGCCCCGCTCAGATCATCTGAACAGCAGTGGGATGTTCCATTCCTACTGACCAGATTTCAAACAGCCAAGGTTCTAACAACCTGGTTTTAGAGAGCAAGGTTTCTCAGCAATATAATTTTGTCAATTTATAAAAGGAACTCATTGATGGCCATGACAGAGGAGGATATTTTCTCTCTTGGAAGGAAGGGTCCTCCTTTAGCAAGCCCCAAGGCAAAACCACCCAGAAGGACAGGAGGAAGGAAGGGTAGACTTGACCCACCCTTGCCACAGGGTTCCCTGGGCCACAGGTCAAGTCTCAGCTTATAAGGAACTGAGAAGAGGCCAGAAGTTGTAAAGCTCCAAGTGTGACCAGAGACCTAGAGAGGCTACTCACAAAGTCATTAAGAAACTAGCAGAGACAGTCCAATACAGCTTGGCCAAAGGCAGTTGAGTGTTGCAGGCTTGTGCAGCACCACGTTCAAACTATATGTAGACCAGCACCCATCAGAGGAGGACAGAGGGGCAGGGAGGAAAGCAGAGAGAAAACTGGGTTTGGTAGGGTAGGCTGACTTGCTGCCTTTTCCTGAGTTGCATATGCCACCTGTGACCAGAGCCTTTGGCTATTTTACCAAGTGACCTCTCGGCCTGTGAATGTGCCCGGAAGGGCGAGGGACGCTGTAGTCCCTCGGAGCAAGGAGAGGTAAATCTGCTTCAACTGGATGCTGGGAAGGGGGTGAAAATGAGACCAAGTCAGGGTTGGGGGGGCATGAAGTGAACGGAAGAATAGATGGGGTGAGCAAGAAGCCTGAGACTCTGCAAAATTAATTGCAACAATCATCCCAAAGCAGGAAGCAGAGCAGCAATAAAAGTAAAAGAATGTGGAAGAAGCCAGGCCATAGATTCTGGGAGAGGAGAACTGTAAGTGGGACACAGAGTCTGCAGTGGAGGAAAAAACTAAAGTGAAATAGTGTGAGAAACTGGTCAACTTTTTATCTTCCTCTCCCTGACATGACCTCTCTGGTTAAAAAAAAAAAAAAAAAAAAAGAACTCCAGGCAATATAGGTAGTTGTGGCCCCTTAAAACTCTGGAAAGTCTGTGAGAAGCCTACTGACTTCCCTTTAAGGCCAGTTCTGAAGAACCGTCCCTATGGAGGGAGATAGAAGCACCAAGATGGTGGCCACGATCTGGGAAAAGGATGCTGGGATCACATTCCAGAGAAAGAACGGGTTAGAAGAAATGAAGTCTGGGAAATCTGGTGGGGGTAGGATGGTGGACAGAGTTCACCCCCTCTGGGAGCGTGGAGTGAAAATATTGCACAAGAGGAAATGGGCTCCAGAAATGTTTCTGGAAAGGAGGTGACTTTACTGGATTTAGACTCATTTCACTGGGTTTAGACAACCAAATCAATCATCCCCTGTTGCAGGTCCCCCAGTCCCAGGGTTAAGTTGTAATTGGCACTAACTACGACAATCCTGTTCCCCTTTATCGGTGACTGCTCTCAGAATGAATACCCAGTGACCCAATTCAAGCCAGCCAAAGGTAAGAAGTCTGCTGAGGGGCGTCTGGGAGAGATTTTTCTCTGTACTGAAAGAGATCGATGTGTGAGGAGCTGCCCTCTCTCCTCCTGGTTTGGAAATGTTTTCATGAGGATGTGATACTGGGAGCTGTAACAACAGCCACTTGGGGGCCATGAGGCCACAAACTGGAGGAAGAAAGCTAACAAGCTAAGGGTGGCAGAGGAGAAGGGTCAAAAGGCCTTGCTGAGCTGGGACCCCCACCTCCACACTCATCGGCAATAAGCAATCCTGTAGTTGACTCACTAAGCCAGTCTCTAACTTGTAGCAACTGCATCTTAACTGTAACGGGTAAGTCTCTATCTAAACATCCTATATCCTACTAGAATCCACTTGGTGACATCTCCTCTTCTTCCAAATTAGTTTATTTAGGATTTCTAAGTTCTGACGATTCGCTTTGGAGGTGCTATGAAATCCTAGTGTT